AGCTGATCTGGACCCCCAAAACAATACTTACATGTCTGAGGGTGGTTAACACTGCTAAATAGGTTAGCGTTACTTAACATGTTAGCTGAGGCGTACAGTTCAGCTACAGACAGCCTTCACATAACTAATGTATCCATAGCAGCTAAAAAGTTGTTTTCAAACAAATAAAAAAGACAATAAATGAAGCGTACTTACAGGTTGTGGTTGTGAACTTCCAGAAGCATCAGACTCTCCATTAGTAGAGGAACAAACCCCCAAAAAAGGCTTTAGTTTTCGAGATACCCCTAACCGAGGTAGAACAAAGCACAACCATATTTTTTCATAACTTGAACATGTCTAGTTTATGAAACGGATTGTTGTATAAAAATATTTTACTGCAAAATAACTTTTTTTGGATGTTTTATGCATCTTACCAAAAAACGAAAATAGGTCAAATTAGGGCTTCTCCAAAAGGGACAGCTCTAGCCTTATCACATGTATCTCTGGGAATCAGAATCAGAATTTCACCAAATTTGGACAGGATGTTCACAGATAGTTATTAGCTACAAAGTTTTTATCAATACCATTTTCAATTTTTGAATTTTTCACACTTAAACACACATGTAGTTTAGGCGGAAATTGAAAATTGAAACAACAATTCAAAAGGTATGTATATCAAAGTCTGTCATTTTTTAAGTGAGGACACCAAACATTAAACTATGTCATTTTTATCTTCTTTAGACTGTTATCTAAACATAAAAGTAAGTTATTTGACTTTTCACTTGACCCTATGCTGTTACCAGCCCCTAACAGGAAACTAGTGCAGCCAGGATTTCAGGGCGACCTGGTACAATGGGGCCTATAGATGTGTATGTGGGAGGAGGTGGCCACAAACAATTGATTAAGACTTAAAAACAAGACACAATATAATTGTATTCTATAATATATATGTAATTTAACATTTGATAATTATTCCTAATACATTTTGTCTTATATTTTCTATCTTACATATGATTTATATGATGACACTCAGAGTCAACCCGCTGCTTTCAACAATATTGTCACCTATGACATTGTTTCTATTTCATTCTAAAAAATGAAAGCATTGATATATTATACATATTGATATATATAACCTTGAGTTCTTAGAAATTAAATATACTTCATATAGTTTATTTGTATATCGGCCATACAGCCTGTTGTAGTTTTTTTAATGTATTTCAGTCATATAAAGATGGTGTGTAGTCACCATAGCTCCTGCTTTTAAGAAGAACCCTAGTTACTCCAGAGGATACACTGGATGAAGGGAGAGTTTTTATAATACCCTAAGTATGATAAAGTGTTAAAAAAAAAGCTACAATAGCTATTTTTGTTGAATGATTTATCAGGCAACCAATGGAGCTGGGTTACAAAACAATTCTTATGATGGCGTAAATGTGTGTAAGGTAAATTAGGATAACAATCATGCAAACATGTTTATAAAAAACTTCTTTATACACTTATTTTACCTCATATATATATATATATATATATATATATAATGACATTTGATTTTAAATGCTAATTACAAAGGATGATTTCCACTTTTAGACAATATGGCTATGAACCTGAGAGCTTAACACCGTACAACTAAAAACCTTTGTGTCACACTAAGCATCCCCTGGGGACAAAGTTTGACCTCTTATCTCTTCGCTGATCTTGTCCTGTGCTTGTGTAAGTTGTGTTTACTGATGAAAAATCTTCTTCTGCCAAGTTTGAACCGTTAAATATATCCCTAACTCTGAATCTTGGCTGTAGAAAATGACACCAACACGCTGAAAGCAGTAACGCATAAGAATAACTTCACAGAAGAAAATATATTCTATCTTAAGGTCTTGTTTGCTTTTGTAAACCATTTCACGATATCAGTATAAGTTTAAGTGAGCTCCATAACCAACCAAAACAATCCTCCCAGGAGCTTTAAGAAAACAACTGCTGCAGAAAATAACCATCAACAAGGTCAACCAACCAAACAAAGATAACACAACCAAATCAGGACAACATAACCAAATCAGGACACCATAACTAAATTAAGACACCACAACCAAAGGCAACACAACCAAATCAAGACAACATAACCAAATCAAGACAACATAACCAAATCAAGACAACACAACCAAATCAAGACAACACAACCAAATCAAGACAACACAACCAAATCAAGACACACAACCAAATCAAGACAACATAACCAAATCAAGACAACACAACACAACCAAATCAAGACAACACAACCAAATCAAGACAACACAACCAAATCAAGACAACACAACCAAATCAAGACAACACAACCAAATCAAGACACACAACCAAATCAAGACAACATAACCAAATCAAGACAACACAACACAACCAAATCAAGAAACACAACCAAATCAAGACAACATAACCAAATCAAGACAACACAACCAAATCAAGACAACACAACCAAATCAAGACAACACAACCAAATCAAGAAACATAACCAAATCAAGACACACAACCAAATCAAGACAACACAACCAAATCAAGACAACACAACCAAATCAAGACAACACAACCAATCAAGAAACAACCAAATCAAGACACCACAACCAAATCAAGACAACACAACATAACCAAATCAAGACAACACAACCAAATCAAGACAACACAACCAAATCAAGACAACACAACCAAATCAAGACACCACAACCAAATCAAGACAACACAACCAAATCAAGACAACACAACCAAATCAAGACAACACAACCAAATCAAGACAACACAACCAAAACAAGACAACACAACCAAATCAAGACAACACAACCAAATCAAGACACACAACCAAATCAAGACAACATAACCAAATGAAGACACAACACAACCAAATCAAGACAACACAACCAAATCAAGACAACACAACCAAATCAAGACAACACAACCAAATCAAGACAACACAACCAAATCAAGACAACACAACCAAATCAAGACAACACAACCAATCAAGAAAACATAACCAAATCAAGACACCACAACCAAATCAAGACAACACAACACAACCAAATCAAGACACCACAACCAAATCAAGACACCACAACCAAAGACAACACAACCAAATCAAGACAACATAACCAAATCAAGACAACACAACCAAATCAAGGCAACACAACCAAATCAAGACAACATAACCTAATTATTATTGATGATGATGGTAATGACGATGGGTTTTGTTTGATAAACATGATTTTAAGATGGTTTCTATACCCAAGAACAGCTGTCAATGTTGTGCTTTGCCTCTGTGCACTGCCTGTCAGCATTTGTGTCCGATCTGACTTAAAGCTGTTCATTTGCACTTACTGACATCGTTTTCCTCCTCTCTAGATCCTCGCTTTTGTTTTATTTACTCTCTGATGTACGTTGCTTTGGATAAAAGTGTCTGCTAAATAAATTGTAGAATTGTAGAAATGCATTCAACACAATCAAATACAGCAAAATAAAGGCAAGGCATCAAAAAGTAGACAATACTGACACAATAACCACATGCAGCCAATACATCACAATGCAAGGAAAAGGCATTACCATCTACAGGCAATCCAGCCACAGACAATAGAACATAGCTAAATGTATTTTTAAACAAAAAAGTTGTGTGTTTGGTTATATGTTGTCATTTGTCTGAGAATAGATTATATGAATGGAGAATCTGAAGGGGGCTATTATCTTTGGAGGCAGGGCAATGTTGATCAGACGCTAAATGCTCATCAGACTAAAGCCAGTGGGTGTACAATTGATTAGGGGCTGGTGACAGCATAGGGTCAAGTGAAAAGTCAAATAACTTGCTTTTATGTTGAGATAACAGTCTAAAGAAGATAAAAATGACATTTTAATGTTTGGTGTCCTCACAAAACACACTAAAGAGCATATAAAACCAGAAAAAACATAATATGGGACCTTTAAGATGCAATCTAGCGGAAGAAAAGCGACTTTAAAACAGCTCAAAATGAAATATAAGAACATAAAAGGCTCATATAGATTTAAAGTTATGCAGCCCCTTTATACCGAGGCTTAACTAAAAGACGCTATGTTTGATAAAATAGTGTGTTTTATACGCTGTAGTGATGCCTACCTAACATATCATATTAAAACAACCTGGATTTTTATTCAGACAAACGGTGAATCTTCACTAACATGAACGTAGCGAATGAAAGAATGAGGAAATGAAACAGCGTTTCTGACTCTGAAAGAGGGAGGAGACCTTGAGAAACTCGGGGTTCATTGAAGAAAATCTGCTCCCGACCAGGTTAGGTTCACAGACTAAGAGTTTGCAGTTTGGCGCAGTCAGTCCCGGCAGTGCTGAAGGGAGAATTTTGTGGCCGGATACTTGCTCTGATTTTAGACTTGATGGTTGGGGAAGGGTTTTTGGAAACAGCAGAGGTAAAGTAACCTCTCCCTCTGGAACGGGCTGGAGGTACCCCTCTTTCTCGGGTTTGAGTGACCTCCTCTTCTGAAACGGATAACTCAGAGTTTCCCTCATTTCAGGGTTAACGGACTCAGAGTTTACACAAAACCTTCTTTCAGAAACGGGCCCCAGGACTCCTTAGTTATTGTCCTTGGTGACTTTAACGAAGGTAATTTAAGTCATGAGTTTCCTAAGACAGTTTATAAAATGTCCGACCAGAGAGAGGAATGTTTTGGACCACTGTTACACAAAAGTCAGCCACGCTTATTGCGCTGCACTGGGCCACACTGACCACGTCATGGTCCATCTGATTCCTTCATACAAGCAGAAATGAAAGCTCTGTAAGCCTGTTGTGAGGACATCAAAGCAGTGGACCAGTCAGGCCGTGGAAGAATTAAATTATGTTGGACTGTTCCTACATTGTTGTATATCATTTCCTCATACACTCCCAGGGACGGCCCAGTCAGAATCTGTGCCAATGACAGCAAGCAACAACGCCCTCCTCCTTCAAAGTGCGGGAAAAAGCATTTTCATCAGTGCCCTCCTCCTTCACAGTGCGGGAAAAAGCATTTTAATCAGTTTGAGCAGGAGAAATGGCTGACGATCAGGATTTTTTCGATTGTCCGATCTGTTTTGAATTAATGCAGGAGCCAGTGACGACCACTTGTGGACACAGTTACTGTATGAAATGCATCAATGCCTTCTGGGATATAAATAACAATGGAGGATACAGCTGCCCTCAGTGTAGGCAACGTGTCACAGAGAGGCCTCTGCTGAAGAGGAACACACTCCTGGCTGCCCTGTTGGAGGAAAAAAGGAAAAACAACAGTCAAAGAGCTGCTGCTGAAGCTGAAGACACCTATGCTGAATCTGGGGATGTTGCATGTGATGCCTGCACAGAGAGAAAAAGGAAAGCCTCTACGATTTGTCTTGTGTGTTTGGCTTCTTACTGTGAGACTCATCTGAAGCCTCACTTTGAAGTACCACCATTAAAAAAACACAAACTGACAAAAGCCTCTCACTGGATACTGGAAAGGATCTGCAGACGTCATGACAAACTTATGGAGCATTACTGCCGCACTGATCAGCAGTTTATTTGTCTGCAGTGTGTGGAGGATGAGCACAAAGATCATGACACAGTGACAGTTACAGCAGAAAAGCATAAAATGCAGGTATTTCAGATCAGCTATATACTGAAAGTGTTATTTGCCAGTCTTTTTATAGTCACTTAAGTTATGAAGAACTCCTGCTTTTGTGTTTCAACAGAGACAACTTGACTGGACTAAACAGGAAATAGCAGACCGATTGCTGTATTTGGAAGGGAAAAAGGTGGAGCTGAGGCAGGCTGCAGACTCTGTAAGAGTGAGTCATTACTTTCATAAGACAACTTCTTTCTCCTTTTTGCATATTTTGTATACTATGCTCTTTCTAAAATGTTTATACCAGATAATAAGAAAAGAGAGTGTTTGGGTAAACTGCAGTTTAGTCTTACTGAAGAAGGTTTTGTTCTGTGTGTGAGTCAACTATTGGGAAACAATAGTTTGTCAGCAGAATCATTTCCATGCTATGTGTATTCCAGAGACAGTTAATCTAGGGCGCGGTCACACTGGCAATCCGTACCGTGCCTTAGCACGCTTCACTGCTAAAGTCCAGTTCATTTGACCAGTGTAACTGCTTAACTACGGTATGACAACATTGCCAGTCTGACGGCACTCTTAGTTTTAGGGCACGGTCACACTGGCCATCCGTACCGTGCCGTAATCAAGCACGATTGGCCCCCTGCTGCGCCATGGCCCAAGACTGTATGGCTGCATCCTGGCGCTCTCTCGTTTGTGTGCTCTCCTCTGTGTGCTCTCGCCTGGATGCATGAATCTGAGCCCCCTGAGCTTCTAATTTTCAACATAAAGCCATAAAGCTGTACATGTAATATATTACAAACATACTAGGTGTTTATATACGACGGAGGATTAGGGCCATGTTAAAAAAAAAAAAAATTCCACGGGTACCCCGTAGAATAGCTGTTGTTGTTGTTGGTGGTGTGCATCGGGCTTCTCACTCATTTCTCATCAGCATGTAGTTGTCATATTTTTCACCATCTTTAAGAAAGGCAACACCATCTCACCTGTGGAAGAAGAGCCTGTGGGCTCGACACAGGACATGTAGGAACAGAAGCATTCAATCTTGTTCCAAATTGTTACTCACTACAACCTCTAGCGAGCAGGATGTGTAACTACAATTAGCAGTACACAGCATAACATCAAGTGCTTCAGAGATAAGATAGATAGATAGATAGATAGTTTTTTTTCCAGGGACCAAATAGAAGGGTCCAGACCACTCAATTAGAAAGAGATGATTTTCAAGAAGTGCAAATTCTTTTGAACTGGCTTATAGAAAAATATTTTTGAGAACGCAAAGAATGACATTTATATCTGCACCTTATTTTTCTATGTAAATACTTGCTGCTGTTTTTTATCCTGCACTACAACGAGCCAAATGCAACGAAATTTCGTTCTTATCTGCACTGTAAAGTACAAGTTTGAATGAAAGTTGAGCTCAACCGGTCATGGCTGAACATAATATTCTTGTTTCCTACAAGGACGCTGCTTGGCAGGGGTATGGTGACTTTCAGCGACGGTGTGAAGAACACATTCGTTTTGTGCAGATCAAGTGCTTGGAGATGAGAGAAAAAGCTGAAGATGCAGAGAAATCTGGAGCTGACCAAACCAACGGTCATCTCGGGGAACTTCAGCAAGAAGAGTTTGAGCTGAGGAAGAGAGAGGATAATCTGGACCAGCTTTCATTGAAAGAGGACCATCTTATCCAGTTTCTTAAGGTGATGACATGTTCAAAGTCCTTGGAAGCGTATTCCATTGTTACTTACAGTTTTTTTTTTTTTTTTGCAGTTAATTTTGAAAATGTTGCATAATAACTCATATAGTGTATTTGTTTGCCTTGCAGGGTTTCGAGGCTCTGGGTGACCTCCCTGCATTCACAGACTCACATAAAAAACTTGACACATTGACAGAGTTTGTCAGGGAACAGAGAGATAACGTGAAAAATATTTTTGAGAACGCAAAGAATGACATTTTCAGCCATTTTGAAAAAAATGAGCGTGAGTTGGACCTTTTTTCTTACTTTCTTAATAATTGAATTTCTTAATTAATGTGGTCTTTTAATGAGTGCTTCATTTCTCCCTGCAGTCGTCAAGTTGGAGCTGGATCCAAACACAGTAGCTGCATGTCTTTGCTTGTCTGACACAAATGATGAGATATCCTGGGGATGCCATGACCAGGCTCATCCTGATCACCCTGACAGATTCACCCACCATTACCAGGCTCTGTGCAAGAACGCCCTCAGTGGGAGCCACTACTGGGAGGTGGAGTGGGATGGTGGCTTTGTGGACTTGGCCGTGTCGTACAAACGCATCCAAAGAAAGGGCTCAGGGAAATATTCCTGCTTTGGCCATAACAAATTTTCCTGGAAATTAACCTGCTCTTCATCTGGGTGTGTGTTTTGGCACAATAGTCTTCACAAAGGCCAAATTCCTCCGGCTCTCTGCCGAAAAGTGGGTGTTCATCTTGACTACAAAGCTGGGACACTG